ATGGCTTTTGTAAAGGGAAATCATGCCTCACCAATCTACTAGAATTCTTTGATCAACAAGCACGTGGACAAGGCGGATCCAGTGGATATAGTGTACTTAGATTTTCAGAAAGCCTTTGACAAGGTCCCACAACAAAGGCTCTTAAGCAAAGTAAGCTGTCATGGGATAAGAGGGAAGGTCCTCTCATGGATTGGTAACTGGTTAAAAGATAGGAAACAAAGGGTAGGAATAAATGGTCAGTTTTCAGAATGGAGAGAGGTAAATAGTGGTGTCCCCCATGGCTCTGTACTGGGACCAGTCCTATTCAACATATTCATAAATGATCTGGAAAAAGGGGTAAACAGTGAGGTGGCAAAATTTGCAGATGATACAAAACTACTCAAGATAGTTAAGTCCTAGGCAGACTGCAAAGAGCTACAAAAGGATCTCACAAAACTGGGTGACTGGGGCAACAAAATGACAGATGAAATTCATTGTTGATAAATGCAAAGTAATGCATATTGGAAACCATAATCCCAACTATACATATAAAGTGATGGGATCTAAATTAGCTGTTACAACTCAAGAAAGAAATCTTGGAGTCATTGTGGATAGTTCTCTGAAAACATCCACTCGATGTGCAGCATCAGTCAAAAAAGCGAACAGAATGTTGGGAATCATTAAGAAAGGGATAGATAATAAAACAGAAAATATATTGCCTCTGTATAAATCCATGGTACGCCACATCTTGAATACTGCATGCAGATGTGGTCGCCCCATCTCCAAAAAGATATATTGGAATTGGAAAAGGTTCAGAAAAGGGCAACAAAAATTATTAGGGGTATCGAACGGCTGCCATGTGAGGAGAGATTAATAAGCCTGGGACTTTTCAGCTTGGAAAAGAGACAGCTAAGGGGGGTATGATTGAGGTCTATAACATCATGACTGGTGTGGAGAAAGTAATTAAGGAAATGTTATTTACTCCTTCTCATAACATAAGAACTAGGGGTCACCACATGAAATTAATAGGCAGCAGGTTTAAAACAAACAAAAGGAAGTATATTTTCACACAATGCACAGAGACCCACTTCAAAGGGGTCTCCCTATAGGTATAATTGAAGGATCAGGCCATTAAAGTTCTGTTTCGATCCATTTGTAAGTACATTTGTAATTTATTATCAAAAGGTATGTAATTTTCTGACTAAATGCCTCTATGAAGTAAAACTACATCTCACTGATAGCAGGGGTCCCAAGCCGTGCCCTGCTGCCCCTCCCCCAGCAACAGCAGGGGTCCCAGGCCGCGCCGCCACCGCACCCCAGAGCACCTGCAGCATCCCCCGGCTGCCCTCTGCCCTAGACCACCCAAGATTTACTCAGGGGCATATAATACAAGTCATGGAGAGGTCACAGGCAGGGAATTTTTGTTTATTGCCCATAATTTAAGATTCCTTAGCAAGAAAGTGGACTCTGTGCAGAGTACAGGGAACAATTTCCAGATTAGATAAAACAGGTGCAGGCTTCTTGCCATATGGCACCAGGGAGATCCTGGCTGCTGTGCTGTTCAGCTTGCTTATTTGGTCTACCTCTGTCACCAGTCACTGCTCTTGAGAAAAAGACCATTGCTCCAGTCCTGCTGTTCAGGGCCAGCTCTGGCTTTTTTGCCGCCCCAGGCAAAAAAGCCTCGGGCCGGAGCCGGGGTGGGGGGGGCGGCCGGAGCCCCGGGGCGAGGGCGGCGAGCCCCGGCGGGGGCTCCGCTCTCCCCCCAGCAGCTGGGGGAAGGGCGCCGGAGGGGAGGGCGGCCGGAGCCCTGGGAGGAGGGCGGCGAGCCCTGGCGGTGCTTGGCTCTCCCCCCCACCCCGGCGGCCAGAGCGCCGGGGGCAGGGCGGCGAGCCCCGGTGGGGGCTCGGCTCTCCCCC